AATATGCAGTTATGGGGCCCAGTACCGATGGATACACCTACAAAACAACTCCAACATCTAAAGTTCAGGAAACACTGTGGAAGAGGGGACAAAAAGATTGTCAGAGTAGGAGGATCAGGTAGTTACTGTAAGATTGTGCCTCCCAGTAATGTCAGAAAATATACCCATTGAGTATCACCACCATGATTGCCCAAACATGAGCTAAACAAGGACAACACTAATGGACATGCTAAAATGGACAAGGACAAGCCCACGAGGCCTCACTCAACCCAACACACAAAACTACAGGAAACTGAGGAAAGCTGGAAGTAGAGAGATGGTCTTCCCCAGGAAAGAGCACACCAATTGGCTGTCCAGTTAGCCCTGAAAAATATACATACAAATAACATTATATGGACTGAGTAGGTTATATTTAGGAATATATATGGGTATTCACACACACACACACACACACACACACACACACACACACACACACACACACACGCATGCCATAAAAATTAATAAGAAAGAGGTCATGAATTTGAAGGAGAATGAGAAGGGACATACATATGTGAGGGTTTTGAGGGAGGGAAAGAAGGGAGAAACATTAAATTATAATCTAAAAAAAGTGTGAGCTCCCAGCTACCGCTCTAGTTTGCTACGCTTTCACTCCACTATCATAGACTCTAACTCTCTGGAACTGTGTGCTGTAGTTTCTCCAGAGCCCAGTTCACCCAATTCCAACCTTTGTATCTGTGGGTATACCTGCTCTTTCTTCATTCTCTCACCATCCTAGTCAGGTCTAAGTCCTGGAGGACATGCAAAGACTCATATGACATCTTTATATATTTGATCACCATCAAATTAATACCAAATTCTATGGTAAGAAAACACATGTAAGGACAATAATATGCTTGGAAGCTGAACTATATACTGAACGTCTTATTGGAAAACTGTAATAGAATAAAGGGTCTTAGTTAAGATTCAAATGTGTCCTTGTGTGCCTTCAAACAAATTTTGAATTAGCTTTTGTAAAATTAATATTTTTTCTCTTATTGACCCTTTCCCACAACACTGCAGACTGACAAACTATTTGTTAAATAAATTAGGCATGAAAAGAAGACAGACTAGAAGGTGACTATGTAGATTTTATTCATGACATTTGAATCCATAAGCTCACACAGAAATTTATTTGATAAATATTCTTTAGATTTATCTAGCTCTTCTAATTGATTTAATTATGTTAGTCTGCTTTCTTACAGTCAAACCCTTAACTGAATCACAAATGGAACAAAAATATAGTTAACATTTTTCAGATGTACTTAAAAAAGAGACAGGAAAACTTTAAAAGCAGAACACTAGAAGCTAGTAAACAGCCTACTTCATTAGAAATGACTCATTCTCTGTTACACAAATCTTTACATATCATTGAAGATTTTTTTTACCCATATTTAATACCCACCCAGAGGAAAATAGCTTGTTATAAAAGTTTTTCTTGATAAAGATTTTTAAAACCAGGAAAAAATCATTACTTCCAAAATATACTTTGTTTGGCTAATTCTAGACAGGAATTACCAATTTCTTCAGAGCTAGGATGACAATATCATCCAGAGAATGTCTTTGCCATTTCTTGAAGGCATGCTGTATTTCTTCTCCTTGGTGTGGTTATTATTTAGGCTAAGGGATTATTAGAAATGGTGTGCTTTCACCAGTGACAATGGACTGGGTAAATAGTGGACTAGCATAAGTCAAATTCCTTAATGTTTTCCAGTTAAGGAAACTTTCAACCAAATCCAGTGTGTTGCAATGAAAGATGTTAAGAGTGGGTAGAAAAGGAACTTGGAATGGTCTGACTTAACCTGGTTAGAGTTTTGCATGGTCAACTGAAATAGGCAGGACAATCCAAAGATTTCTTTTATATTTTCAGCAAAAACACAGCAGGGTCTGGAGAAGGCACAAGATAATTTATCAGATTCACAGTGTACGGTGTCTATAACAAAGACATAGGGACAGCTTGGGAGGAGTTTCTAGCCCAACCACAGAAATGTTCCATGGTAGAATGGCAAAACTTCTGAGAGGATGCCACAACTGGGATGGTGCTGAAGGCAGGCTGAAGGACCACTGGCTTAGTCTTCAGATACTTGATGAATATGCAAATGAAGCTCTCACTAAACACTTGATGCCACTTCTTGGTCTCTGGCCCCTTCCTAAATCCAGGGCATGAGACAAGGGCTGGAGCTCAAAGGGACTATCTTGCTTGGGTTGGATGGAAACTTTCCAAGGCTGTGAAATTTCAGTGAGTCATAGAGAGGTTTCTGTAGAACATCTATGCCTGAATACCTGCAAAAGGAGAGTAGGTTCTACCTGGAATGTTGCTGCCATGGTTGCCAGATAGGAAGAATAAATTAGGAATCTCTGAAATTCCTTCCATTCATCCTAGCAGAGGAAAGAAATAAGAAAACATTCAAGGAAGAGAAGATCAACAGCTTAAGAAGCAGAAAAAGAATCTAGATCAGTAATTTAATTTATCCTTTCCAATATTATTTGAAGAGCATCAGTCCTGAGGCCATTAATGGCTGAACCTAAAAGGAAGCCCAGAGGCAAGGCAGGCCTGGATGAGGTGCTTGTACATTGCCTTGGGGACAGGATTGGAATGACTAATGTTCTGTTTCTTCAGTGCATCCCAAGTTCAAACTTTACCCCAGAGGGCAGATTGGAAATACCTTATTAAGATGGTTGATATCAGTATCTATTAGGATAAAAATGTATGGCTTGTGATCTCAGAATATGCTCAGACTTGTGGATATGTTATTTATTTAAAATTATCAAAATATAAATCTCCTGTGAAAGTTTAATCCAAGCCCCCAGGAAGCAGAGGCAGGAGGATTTCTGTAAGTTCAAGGCCATCCAGGTCTACAAGAGTGAGTTTCAGGATACCCAAGACTCTGTAAAGAGACACTGTCTCATAATGTTTGAGCTGATCTCAACGAGTAAACTATGGGTCTGAATGGAAGCCAACTAAAGGAAATGTGGATGTGTGCTTGCACGCACACACAGACACAGGATATGACAATCTATCAATGGAAATGAAGACAATGACAACTACATAAATACTATGTGTAATTTTTTTTATTATATCCTAGATTTTTTAAAAAGGAAAATCAACTACCAAGAAATTCTTGAGGCAGAATTTGAATATCCATTTCAGGTTCTTGGAGTTGATGGCACTGAAGATGGACAGAATAATGTTCTCATTACCAACAGGAGGGGTCTGATAAAGTATTTTAAAACTTTATGATGACTGAATTTTTTTTATGGTTTAGCAATGAGTGCATCTACAGTGAGAAAGAAATGAGGTGATCTGCTAACACTTGCTACACTTAAAGGACATAGGGTGCATGTAATCTTTCAACTGTGAATTTTCCCAAAGTTAAATGTAGCAAAGAGGAAGAATGAGGTTAGGAGACAGAAACAGGCCTGGTGCTGTCCCAGGGCTGTAAGGAGCTCCCATTCACAGTACAGACTTTGCAAGATAAGGCCAGGCCAAAGGTTTACAAACAGCCCATGAAGATTTGTCTTGAGAATTTGCCAAACAAAGTTCTGTAGAAATATAAACACCCCATACTTTAAAAAAGGATAGCAATTGTCTAGACTCTTAGTGCAATTAACAATACAGGCCAGGGAAAATCATTCTAAGAAGTTAAAAAAAACATTTGGATTTTTAAGCAGGATGGAAATTTCACAGACCTACAAGCAATTGATAGAAAAATAACTAGAAATAAATGCCAAATGTCTACAGAGTCAGGTTTCCCCATTGGCTAAGCATTATTGAAATGCAGTCACACACTCTACCCCCCTACTGCATGAATCCTGCATTTGTTCAAGGTACAAAGCAGCAGAGACTCCCCAAGACCACCATCCCTCACATCCATGAAGTGTGTTACTGTGTACTGCATAGGTCAGGAATTCAGGGCTTTGTTTCTCTGGACCCTTAGCCAAATATGCTTCTAGGCCACATTGCCTATTTTGGCCTCTAAAAGTTACTTAGGGAGAAAAGAAAAGTTCCTATAGATCACAGCAAGTCAATTACATAGAGAGAAAGAAGTAGTAGTGTTGGGTTTCATAAGACAACATCCATGAGACAGGAAGGAAGGGTTGTTCTGCTTGTAGAAAGCCACTGAGCCCATAGAGTCAGCCTTTTCATCATGCTTTCCAGGCTTCTGTGGCAGTCACAAACGGTTTTAACATATTATATATACTAAATAATATCAGACTAGCTTAGTCATCTTTTGTTATTACATTAACTGCAAAAATACATTCATATCTATGTCCCTCCACCAACGGATACTTTATTAAAGTCAAATATCATGGGAAGTGTGAGTACTTCTTAGTCAACCTGTCAGAACCACAGTTTTGTGAATGAATCAGAGAAGGCAACACTTTATTTACTAAAGCTTCCAAAGGCAGGAGACGGAATGGAATGGTTATTCTGACTGCTGGAAGGAACAAATTGAATGGACAGAAGGAAGACCTTAGTGACAAAAATTAATTTTGTGTCATCATATAACCCAGGAGATGGAAGGACAAGGGAGGGGAGAGAGAAGTGTGTGTGTTGGGGGGGGTGGAGAGGACAGAGTAGAGACTAGAGATGAGAGAGAACAGGGAATGATAAAATGGAGAGTGGGGGGACAGAGAGCAAAAGAAGGGGAAATGTGAAGGAGAAAAGATACCAGCAGGGTTCAGAAGCTCTGGGATCAACTTGGGAAGGCTACAAGTCAAGTGTACTTGGTATACATTTACCAAATACCCACTGTTTTGTCTTGTCACTGAAATCCTAGTATTATATGTCCAGTTAGCCAGGACTCACTACCCCTCAATAAAGAACACTGCACTAATCTGGCTCAAGGATCCTACTGTTCATCTCTAACTTTATTTCTCTCTTCTGGGAAACAGGAAAATATTTCTATAGTGGAAGAGTTTAGAAATGACAGTGGCTACTAAGAATTCACTCTGGTTTATTTCTGGTCCCCAGACTCTTTCCAATGGTGAGCAAGTGAATAATGGCCTGTCTGGGGTACACATCATGCACCCCATGAAGGAAACGGCATGGATGCTGCCAGGAGAACTGCAGACCCCTCCCAGCTCCAAGTCATATACAAGGTTAAGTCACAGGTCCAGAGACACTGCAGGGACTCATGGAGATGTGGGATAGGAAAATAGTATTATATGGTATCCCCCAAATTTGATTGGAACTTAGAAAAATAAATGATAGAGAAATTAGTCAAGAAGTCTGGTAAGACATAAGTGGAAAAGAACAATAACGAAAACCTCTCAGTCTCAAAACCTGAATTCCAGTAAAGCCTAGGTGTCAGGTGGCAGGCACAGGTATGACATGAGTGGAAGTGCAGAGGCCTGTCCTGCACTGTCTTCAGCCACAGGGGTCAAGGCTGGTCCTTCAAGCTGTGGTCTGCCTGGCTTACAGGCCCTGGCTAGCAGCACTTAGAGGGTTAAGAGCGCACGAAGTGGGTAGGAGACATCTTTCAGAAGTCCTTGTGGGGCTCCAGCTTTCCAGTCCTGGAAGTAGGGACCATTTCAGCCAGGGAGGGCCACTTCCTGTCCCGTGGGGACTCCTGGGAGAAACAGTGCTCCTTTCTTCCGGGAAATGAGGTGGAATGCTAGTGGCACATCCTGGTTGTCATCTCTTTCTGGAAAGCAAGGAGAGAAGGGCTGTTAGGGTACAGTAAACAGAGCAATGCTAGAAATACACTGGGGGCTTTACCTGGAACCTCCAAAGGTTATAAGCCCGAGCCATGTTTCACTGAGTCCACTCAAGTGGACTGTAGGCTTGAGTGCTCTCTCTCTCTCTCTCTCTCTCTCTCTCTCTCTCTCTCTCCTCTTGAATTATGGCACTGCTCAAAATATATTACTCTCTTGCCAAAAATCTAAGCGACTTGCTTTGTCTGGAGGAAAACAAAGCAAGGACTGGAGCCACTGAGTACTTGGGATTTAAGAAGAGCTCTCCTCTCTGGACAGAGAGTGTCTCCAGTCTCCCTCCCCACACCTTCCAATTGTCTCTCCAGAGAGAGCCAAGAACAGCTTGCCAACTGGTGTGGTTTGAGTTGCTATTTTTAGAATAGAAAAAAAAATCTTCCATTTGACTAGGTTTCGATTGAAGACGGGAAAAATGAAGAATGTATTCATGTACAAGAAAAGTAAGGACGAGGAAATGAAGAGATGCCAGAGTTTGGCATGCAATCTTCCATGCACATTACATGCCTGGCTCTTATGGGAACTTGTGGATCCAAATGTGCCATCCTTTCTTCTCCTCCTTGAGACCCTGCACAGGCTGGCATATTTCTGTTCCATCCCATCTCTACCCTCTTTACCTGGATAACAGCCATTTATCTTTCCACTTTAGACAGAAGGACATCCATTGGCCGAAAGACCTCATACCCACCTTTGGAGGTGGCCATACCTTTCACCTGTGCACACCTTGACTGTTGTGGAGGTGTACTGGCTCTGGGTGAGTGGTTGTTTCAGTGATAATGGCTCCATAGGCTAATACGCTTGAATACTTTGTTCCAGTTGCTGGAACTTTTTGGGAAGGATTACAAGATGTGGACTTGCTGGAGAGGTGTTCCCACTAGACTGAGAATCACTAAATGGCAGGAAGAAATAACACTCATTGCATCCCCACACAGGCTTTCCCCTTAGTTTGTACCCCCAACTTTTCTCACAATGCTGGCACAAGGGAGTTCTTTTTTTCATCTTTAAGAACAGTGTGGGCTGCAGGCTGAAAAAGAGCCTTGAGCTTGTCAGCCTTTGGGGAAGACAAGACTAAGTAATTTTAATAAGATGAGTAAGTTCCGAGTTCCTCTTGCTGCAGAGCTGACTCTGCAGCTGCATCTCTTCAGCGCTGAGCGGGATCATCCCAGAGAGTAATAGAGTTAGTGTGAGTGTGCCCTGGTGCTCAGAGTGCTGCTTGAAAACCTCGCGGACTGTGTGGGTTAAAGAAATAACACACGGTGTGTAACCCAGGTGCTTTCACATCCCTTATCAAACGTGGGTGATTTCATATTGCATCACAGCCAGTAAACAAATACACATGCAGAACTAACTCCTAGTGATCATTTACTCGTGCTTACTAACTGAACCACATAGTAGGAGATGGGGCTGGTGTTCAAGGACCCAGTCTCCTGGGGAGGAAGGAACGTGGTGGATCACAAGCGGACTCATACCACTGCAAATGGTTACTTACAGAGAAAGACACAAAGCATGTTGGAGCCAAGTTCACATGCTGCAGAATCACTTCTGCCCGCTTTCTACCCACCCACATGAATTCTGAGCATCTTCAGTGAAATATCTGTTTGGGGGCACATCTTCTTCCCTTCTCCCTTTAGCAGGCACAGCACCCTCCATCAACAGTGGGAGAGTCTATCATTGATTTCATTTCTGCCTCCTGGATCATCCCAGGCAAGACCCTATAGAGTCCAAGAGGACAGGGCTGTGCCTGCTGTTTGCTCTCGAATCATCACTGCCTGACAGATAATCCAGCTTCAAAAATGTTTGCTTAATCAAGCAGTGCACAGCTCCCCAGTCTCTTTACTTGGAAGATGCAGTGTGAGAGTGAGTAGATCCAGGGAAGGTTAAATGTATTCATATATGCGCAGACTCAGTACATGGTAATTCCCTCGTCTACTGCTCCCACCTCAGGTTTCCGGAGGTTCTTGTGTACTGGGCACAGTGGTATAACAACTGTAATCCCAACACTTGGGAGGCTGGGGCAATAGGAATGTGAGTTTGAGGCTAGCCTGGCGTATCAACAAGCAAGAAAATGAAAAACAAAACCAAAGGTTCTTGTATTTTGAGTTAGCATTTGACAGTAGACCATGCCTTTGAGAGAAAGCTAATTCCAAGGATAAACATGACTGCAGTTTTATAACTAACTATAATTATTGGCAATGGATCGGTGCTCCAGTAAAGTGAGGAAGGAGCATTTGATGGGTGCCCACGAAGTGCTCAGTGCTTTGGGGTGGCCTTCACGTGTGTGTAGGTCTCCGAGAGGGAATCGCAACTGTCCTTTGATGGAAGAATCCTACTCTTGGAGCAGAACTGGTTGTTCTAGGTGAAAGGCAGCATAACCAGGGACAGGTGCTTCTAAAAGGCTGAGATCTCTCCTGCTCACACCCACCGCCCTGCAGGTACATCCTGAGACCCTGGCTGCAGTCTCGAGAGATGAGTGTGCACTGCGCTGACAAGGCAACAGATTGAGAAAGAAGGACAATTTACCAAAGCCACACGGAAAGTGACAGGAGTGGTATTCAATCCAAAGCCTATGTGACTGCGAGAGCCAGAGCTTCCGGCACAGAACAGGGCTTTGTTTAAAGCCAGGAATGCATATGCATTTGAGTGATAACTTGGAAATTAACTGACTCGTATATTAATTGTAAATGGCAGCCCATTAATTCTGAATTTTTCACCTGACCCCATCCCCCCACCCTTGAAACTGCAATCTTGCAGTTTCCTTAGGCCAAACCAGGCTATTGTGCCCCTTCCTGCCCTCTTCTCCCACCTTCCCCGAGAGCTGCTTGTAATCCCACAGCTCCTTTAGGCCTTCGTGGCTTTTGTGGCCCCATTCGGGACCCTTTCCTGTGGATGAGACCCCTCTTCTATAGCTCGGGTTTGCTCCCGCTTTCTCACCTCTAAGTACCTGGTTAAGCCCCTGACCCCCATTGAGTGTGGTGATGACCTATTGAATGACTTGGTCCTTATTGGGTCCTTCCTGAGTCTTGCGGATGCCGCCAGGATGCCGGTGGCTACCGGCTGCAGTGCCATTTCCCTTTTCTCTCACGCATGGGGGCACGTCAAAACGCTAGCAGTACTTTTGTGAAGAGTTAGTACCGGGGCTTTTCTCACTACAGTGTGAGCTCAAACACGCAGAAGAAAAGCTGTTTCTGAGAGCCCCCTCAACTCCTACAGAGGAACACTGGATAACTAACCACAGTTCTGGAAATCTATAGGCCTGGGCCGGCAAGATGGCTTAGCAGGTAAAAGTGCTTGCTGCCACACCTGAAAACGGAAGTTCGAGACTCGCGTTGGTGGAAGGAGAGAACCGACTCTTTCAAGTTGTTCTCAGATCTCCACAAGCATGTAAGCTCTCACATTTAATTTTTATAGTCTCGAAGGCTGTCTTCTACTCCTTTGCCACTTGGTGGCGCCAACGAACTGTTTAAAGAAATGTTCTCCAGGCATAAACGTTCTCTATGGCTTTCCTCACTGATCCCTCCGCAGGTTAATCAGCAGGGCCAAAGACATCCCTGCCTTCCTTCCTCAAGGGAAGCGGGCTCAGTATCTTCCACTCGGAGTACTTTTAAGGAGACTTCCCCATTGCTGGTCACGTAGAATGCAACTGATAAGGTAGGGTGCCAAACCCTGCAACATGCTTAGGGCGGTTTCTGCAGGGGAGATTTTTCTGGCTTGTTTACGAAGAAAACTGCAGCATTTGAAGGCTTATTTGTTATTATTTATTCTTTTAAATGACTCAGCTGACAATGAAAATGTGGTGTATATATACAAATGGAATTTTATTTGGCTGTAAAGAAAAATGGCGTTTATGAAATTTGTAGGAAAATGCATGGATTTGGGAAATAATAATTAAGATGTCAGAAAGACAAAAAACACATGTTCTTATATGCAAGTCTTCGCATATGCAAGTGAGGATAAAGTCTAAAAGCCTAGAAAAAGACCAGAGAAGGTCTTTAGGTGATTAGGAAGGTCAAGGGTGTGCAAAAGGACACTTAGGAAAGGGACTGGGGAGAGGAGGACCAGGAGTAGCAGGAGGGAGGGCTGGGAGTGAGGGGCAAAGACTCTACTATTTTTGTAATAATGCTAATTTAGAATATTAAAAATACTTCTTTTTTTCCCCTTTTCTTTTGATTTTTGAGACAGGGTTTCTCTGTGTAACAGCCCTGGCTGTCCTGAAACTCT